GGGGAGGGGGGGGTATCCATTAAGCCACAACTTAATGCCGTTGGCAGGCATTTGCGCCACTGGTCTCACTCGTCCTACCTTATAATTATAGATTGAACGCGGGCCAGAGATCGGTGTGTTTTGCAATGAGAGCGAAATATCCGTTTCGCCGCGATCACGCGACTTCATGATGGTGAACGAAAGTTACAGAACGCCCGAGATGGCCGGTCTCAATGGAGAACGCTTTGCGTCTCTAGTTCCCTTGTTCTAAATCTGTATCCATCTCTTTTGTCCGAAGTACTTAATTTTCACGTAACTGCAGCTTAAGATGCGAAATTTGAAAAAGAATCTTTCACAAGTACAAGTAAATTAAAAAATAAAATCGTAAATTTTAAAAAGCCGTCCCACAAGCGCATAATTATTATACATATAATTTGTAAATAATAAAATTGAGAAGAAGAAGCCAACGCTGATAATGTGGCTTTCTCTCTCTCTCTCTCTCTCCAAACATATTTAAAAGTTCATTAAAATATCTCTTGAATATTTTGACATTACAGGAATATTAACATATGGACATAGTAGACTTATAGCGCGCAAACACGAAAGGCACGACAGGCTCGACTAGATAGATCGAAAACAGTAATGTATTCGTGCCAGTCGCGGCTCTTCCCGGTGGATATATGATCACAATATGGTGAATTTTTATTTCGCAATCTATTGAACTTTTATTTCGCGGGATGCGCCATCGTTCCTATCATCGATGCCGACGCCGTCCTCGGCGTGTTGCAAGAACGAGACGAGCGAAGGATTGGGAATTAGAGAGGAGTCGTGAGTCACGACTACGGGATCGTCTCCACTTGGCACTTAAATCGCTAAATCATAAAAAAGACGCAACCGTATGCAATTACTTGCGCACTTCGCGTGCGGTGCACATAGCAATTTGCAAATTGCAGACGCAGCCGGATTGGCGCACCGTCGCCAACGTCACGGATCTATGACTCATTGCGACTGTCGCGAACAAATAGATTAATGTGTACATTCGATAGCGTTTAAGCAAATGTATAACGGTTGTGTTTTTTAAGCTCCAGCAGACAAGAGCGGACCGTAAGCGGCACACGCGCGTAAATCGCCTATATTGGAGGTCTTCAAGAGATTGGACGTTATACGTTTGCTCTGCCATATTTTTCAGGACCCCCGCTTAAGATAAAACGAGATAGATTATGCATAAGATAGAATGGGATATCAAGTACGAAAAAATATAGCGGACCAATCAGAAGTCGTCTAAAGACGGTGTCCAATTTCTCACTTGAGAATCTCTAGCTTATATATTAAATCTTCTTCGCATTCCCATTAAAACCTAGTCGGAAAATGCTACGACAGATTTTGCGCGGCGATCTAACATGCTTTGAAACTTGTAACGCGGTTCTAAATAAATAATGAAGTGCTTCCAAACATATCCAACAGCTCGCACCGCTGCTCGCGGCTTGTCCGTCGGCCGTTTCAGAGCCGCTTGCGTGCACCACGAGCAGCTCGGTCGCGAAGGAAGCGACGTCCGAGCGGCCGCAAAAATCGTTCGGTCCAGGTGTGACTCATCACACTCGAGAGATTTCAACGCGCGTGTTTCCGCGAGCACCGGTATTTCTGGCTGGCGGCGTATTTGTGTTACACGGCGTTGTATCAAAGTACAAAAAAACACAACTGGAGCGGTGTTGTTTGGTGAACGGGATGTTGAGGATACTATGATTCATATCGTGTCCAAGTCATGAGGTCTCCTTAAATGCGCAGGAATATACGCGTTCTCTCGTGATAAACCAATCAGATCGGATTCAATTGAATTCGCAACAACTTGGTTTCGCGAAGAGGAGGAAAATTAAAGACTTGTTTTAGTCTCCAATTCTTTCGTTACAGTTTTGTTTTATATAAGAGAGAGAGAGAAATAAATATTTAATTTATTATTTCCATAAACACCAGCTAGCACAATAACATTACATCAATATTATATTTCCTAGCCAATAATATAAATGTAATATAACATGTTGTACGTAACGGGAGTAGGAATGTAGAAATAAGAGCAGAAATGATAATATTGATATAATGTTATTATAAAACATTAAGATTACATCGTACATTAAACATTAATCCATTATTAACTTTATTAGGAAATTATAACATTGACGAAATGTGCTAGTTAACGTTTAATTATTACGTTTTCAAAACTTTTCTCTCTCTACCTTTGTTAACACCAATTCTGCAATTTCCGCAACGAAATTTGTATTCTTCTGACATAAGATATTTTTTGCAGATATCAATTAAAAGAATTGCAAAGTAAGTATTTTAAAATTAAACATGTTGTATAATTTGATTGAATAATATAAGATACTTTTTTATATATTATACATAAGACATTTTTTTATAAAATTTTATTATATCGCAAATTATTTAAAATCGATTCTAAAAAAATCTTATATAATCCAATCATATTATACAACATGTTTAATTTTCAAATACTTATATCACTTATTTGCAATTCTTTTAATTGATATCTGCAAAAAATATCTTACGTCGGAAGAATAGAAATTTCGTTGTACATTATCTAATTTTATTATATAATATGTCTAATCAAAAATTATTAAAATAAATTACTTAAATATATTCATATACTCGGCAAACTTTCTTTCCGGCAATTTCTTGTTCTGTTCTCCGTAACGTCGAGCAATGTCTATTGTTCGTTGGCCTGCCGCGGACTTTGAGGATCGGTGAACTGTAGACCTGCGGGCATGCTGGCGATCGGTCGATGAGTAACCATGGGAGACCAAGGTCATGTCTTCCAACTCGATAAACCTTACCGACATCAATCTCTTTTGTACGCGAAAGCACAATGTTTTCTAGGCACGTATGTTTTACTTCGTATGAACATAATAACGTTTCACAACCGAAAATAGTTTGCGAATAGACGCTTTGCCCGTCCTTGCTAGGTGATAAAACATTAAAAACTGGTAATGTATATATGTTCAAAACGAAAGCATAATTTTAATACTATCAATATGGATCTGTCATTTTATTTTGATGAAAATATTTACTGTCTAATATCGATTTGAATTCGGGCAGTAATTATATCATGATACGCTTGTTATTTCAATGATATTTTATTATCAGAGTTAGATTGCATTTAATTATGCTTCATCTTATTTTATCGTTATAGATCTCTGTTTCAGGTAATTACTTAATCTTGATAACACGATGTGTGCTAATCCAGTTTACGGTTACGGTGTTGTGAACGTATTCAAGAATACAACGTTGAGAAACAATGTTAGAAGAAAAGTATCAGAACTTACTTGAAAAATGAATCATCGATAAAGCAAGAAGTGCATAAAAATATTATCCCCGTATTTGTGTGAGATGATATTACATTTCGTAATACGATTGCGCGAACGTCGTTTTAGTATTGCAGTTAATTAACAGGAAATGCCTGACTGCAACAGTAAATGAAGTTAATTAATGCTAACGCTTCATTTAGAATCTATCCCTTGTTTTTTCGGTTGTTACGTCTCATTACTAGCCGCGGTGAGCGTTATCCAGCATCAGGTTGAGAAACTCCATGTGGGAACAAAGCGATTCACGTGTGTGGCCATTGCTTGCCGTGTGTACCCGCAATGAAACCAGTTCTCGTATCGCGAGAACTTTTTTTGTTATGCACAAATGTATCGTGTTCGCACCTTTGTCGGCGGAGATTTTTCCAGACGATCTTACGTGCCGAGTAGTACAAATATTTCAGCCTCTCTTCTATTTTCCTCTTTCAATTCCGATCCCGTGCGATCCTTTTCTTTATTTAGCTTCACTTTATTCCGCGATAACTCGATAATTGGAAAAAGAAATGTTCGCGCCATGTACCTTTTTTCTTTTTAATCTTGGAAAGCGTTTGATCTTTAAAGAAAAGTGAAGTAGTTGGTTAATTGCGGTCAAATTGTGCGTCTAATTATACGCGTTAATAAATTTGCCAGCTCCTTTCACCGAGTTCTCAAACCTTTTATCTATCTACACCATCTCGATCTCGTTGTGCGTAAGTATGGATGTCGAGAAATGTAATGTATTCATGTGCACTGACTCAGGCCGCGAGTTTCTTTTTTTCTCCTATAGTCCTCCGAATGACGTTTGAATGTAAGACGTCGATTTCGTGAGGGGAATAACCAGCGGCTGTCTTTGTGCCAGAATCCTTTCAAATGCTAAAAATATCTTTTTGGAGCAGAGGTTGCAAAAATTTGCTTTGTCCCGGTCGACATAAAATCAATAAGACCGGAGCACAGACTTTTGCTTTATGCACGATACATAAGAAAATCAACTATTCAGAGTCTTTTATTTCGTGAAAAGGAAGGAAATGAAGGTCTTCAATTGATTTATTTTCTTATGCATTATGCGTTATGCAACACTCTGTACTTTCACTACCCTCGCTCAAAAGAATTCATCGTAATTGGAAATTGATACGAAACGTTTTTTTTATGCGCAGAGTTTGGAGCAGGAGAGGCATCTACTGCGGAGGAGACTCGAGGAAGCCAGAGATGAGAGTGAGACGAGGGCTTTGGAGCTCCAAGCTGACGTGGAGAGCCTCAGGAGCCAGTTGGAGGAGCAAAATGAAAGGGCGAGAAGGGCGGAGCGTGATCAAGCCACCCTAGTTGCAGAGTTGACGGCGCAAAACACGAGGCTGGCCGATCAGCTGAGGGAAGCTGCCAAACAGGAGGAGCAGTTGCTCGCGGAAGTGAAGAGGCTGAGAGAAAATTGCGCTCTCAGGAACACTACCCTGCAGGATCATGTCAGCAGCCTGGAAGTCCTCAGGGACGAGGTAAACATGAATTTGTAATCTCGATCATATTACCATACATCATCCGAGTACGTAATTAAATCTTTTTTGCATATACAAACTTGACTTTTTTCTATTCATCAACGAATTTCTTGCCGCGGTTTCCCTTTCGCTTAATTGTTCTAATTGCGCGCGGAACGGAAGCTGTCGTTATTAATCATTATCCATCGGAAGCGGAATGGTTCTCAGGTGGGGCCCGCTGAATAATTCGCAGCATCCTTTTTATGAAAAGGAAGCGGTAATCGTTGCGCTCGTGTTCGCACGTGAATTTTATGCGTACAACCTCTGGGAAAATGCTATCATCGAATAAAAATGAACATGACCCTCGTCGGTCGACCCGATTTACCTCGTTCCGTCGACCTTTCATCTCGTCTTGTAATAGCAAACATAGCAACCGGATGTCGACTCTCAGGAATCGTTCGTGACGCGCGTACAAAGGTTTACTGAACTAGACACGTATAAAAATAAATGTGAGTTGCATCTCGCGAACTGTGACTGTTACTATATATTTTAACATTGCATTTTATATGCACTTGCATGTTTCATACTTCAAACTATGGAAAAAAACGGTTTTATTGAAATATTTGAAAATTAATTTAAAATTAGTTAAAAAGTAAGTTAGATGCGGATCTGAAGACAATTTCGTTGGACTTACTTATCATGTTTCTTATCATTATTTTGATAAACCAACAAAATTATTTTTAGATCTGTATATAGCTAAATGTTTATACAGTTCAATAAAACTGCGTAGGCAGAAGTGAAAAGTGAAATTGTAACTTAAGTCAATATCAAACGACGAAACGACGGGCGACATAAGAAAGTGTTGTCAGAATATCACTTACGTTGTAATTTTTGCATTCATACGTCGTTTGCAGGTACAACTGGTATCCGCACAAAGGACGGAATTAGAGAGGCGGTCCTTGGAGCTGCGAGAGGAGAGGGCCAGGGCGATCGCGGCCCTCGAGGAAGCCGAGGAGAGAGCTACGGCCATGGAACGACTCGGCCACGAAGCGGAACACCGCGCGAGAGTGGCGGAGCAAGAGAGGTGAGGCCACCATCCGTGATCTAAACACGTGGCTATTACGGTTCAATTAACACGCGGAGGCAACGTTCAATTGAGCATGATCCATTCACGGTGAGATCTTTCCTCAGATGGCGGTCGCATCTTCACCGAGTAAACGCGGGATGTCCAGCGAACAATACTATTCATTTTATTCATTGTATTATTTTTTGCTAATATCTATTTCGTACTTAATTCACATTTGAGATGTTAAAACATTTCTGTCGATCACCGAAAGATATCTCGGTTAGTTTTTGTAAATATATTACATTGCAATGTATTTATGTAGGATGGCGGATACAGATTTGAAAGAGAAAAGGTAGAATCTTTTCAAGAGAGATTTATGCTTAAGTATTTCAATGTGCAAGGATATTTTTGCAAATCCGAAATAATGTTTGCGAGAGCTGACGCTCAATCTCTCTTTGTTGTAGTTCTTTTCGAATTCCAATATTAGACGAGAATTTATTTCGCTTTATTGAACTTCACGTGGTCCAATTATACGACAACACATTCAGCCGTTATTGTGAAATACGCGATCAGCTGATGGATGTCAAATAAACAAATGTCACCGAACCCTTCTCGAAAGTATAAAATATATAAAATACTCGAATATATAAAATACTCTGAAGTACTAACCGAACATAGAATATTAAATCTTCCGTCTCCTACATTTGTTACTTTTTAGAGACGAACTGGCGTCAGCATTGGCAGCTATCGAGGCAGAAAGGAGAGCCCGGTCCGGTTCGATACAGAAAACACCGAGGTCTTTGCAAGCGGAAATGGAGTGCGAAGAGAGTGGCAACTCGCTCGGGGAACAGGAAGACGGAAGTCTGAGAACGGAAGTTGCAAGGGCGACGAAGCGGCTGAGGGAACTGTGTGCTCATCTGAGACGCGGTGAAGACGACTCGGGTCTACAGAGCGACTGCGACGAATCCATGCTGGTAATTAATCTCAACAACTCCGAGGCAGAGGTGGGCACTAACGACCGGGATACTCACTCTTCACCGGTAAGCAACTCTTTTCATCATTTTTTAAATTATAAGTATATACAGGATGACAAAAAGTGGCCACAAAGCTTTATGTCAAATCATCCAGGTAACAATTTGACATTATTTGTCATCACTTTGTTGTCAGACTAACGTTAAAGAGATCGTTTTAAACTAATAAATAAATTTATCAAAATAATATAC